ATTCCTCTTCCTTTTTTTGGTCTTTGGTGACATCATTATATATTCTGCATAACTTATCAACATTTATATGAGTCACTACTTAGCGATTTGGGTAAGTTCTGAGAGTATAATCTCACAGGGAAAAGTGGAATTGAGAAAACAAGATAGAAAGAAAAGGTAATGAAAATCTAGGCAAATCTACTGGTTAAATAAAGGAACAAAAAAAAAAGAAATCAAAAGAGATATGCAAACAAGTGCTGGCCATCTAGCAGAAATACCAATATAAAAATATATCTTTAAAAAATAAAAGTACAACATACTTCTGAGCCTGTGTGTGGGTATGAATATTTTTTAAAACAGAATTTAACTTATGTACCTACAAATAAAAAGCTTCTTAAATTTCAAAAATTAAAATCTGAATTTTTACATAGAGAGCAAAATTTATATCCAACAGTTACTGCCTATGGTTCTGGTAATAATATTATGATCCATACAATATATATGCATATAAAATTTGAATATACAAGTTTTACGCCACAGAATATTATAATGCCATGTAAGATTTCATTATTTATGAAATCCATAAGACCAGTTTAAAGGCTTGGTAAATACATTTATGGACACAATCAGGTTACAATCTGTATTGCAAATAGCAATTCAGTATGAAATAACCAATAAACTTTAAATGTGGGCACATAATCTTACTTTCCAATATAATAATAGTTTAAGTAGAAGATTGAGGGAATTTTAGAAAACATAAACATATCACAGGAGATTTTTAAAAGATTTTTTAAAACGTGTACAGTGGATTTTTAAATAATTCCAGAGGCCATCAAATTCCATTACAATAATGTTGATTTTAAAGATTCTTTTATACCAAAAGGCGGTAAAAAAATTGGGAATATAAGTCATGTGAATACCAGAGCTAAATTAAGGGTAAAGAACTGTCACCAGAAACGTTTAACAACTATCCCAAGAAGGCACAGTGAGCTTCTGTCAGTCAGTATTAGGAACAAAAGTTCCTATTGTCAAGAACATTTTTAAGTAAAATTGTTCAATTCTTATTTATAATATGTGTATGGTGGCAGAGAAAATCTAATGTGATCTTCAACTTTATTTCTTTTATCTCTTGGGTACTCAACGAGATTGTATTTCCCAATTTCCCCTGCAATGAGGTGAGACAGATGACTGAATTCTGAGGAATGAAATGTGGTTAGGTGATGCATGGTATTTATAGGCTGTTAACTAATGCTTCCCAAATAACCCTCCATGCTAGCTGTATGCCTTCCTGCAGAAAGGATGGTAGAACCAGTAATATAAAGGAGCTTTCCTGGGTAATTGAAATCCCATTTCTTGCTCACGCTGCCATTCCACCACCCACATTACACTCTGATGTGAGCAAGAAATAAACCTTTGTTTTGTTAACCCAAAATTATTTCGGGAGCTCTTACAGAAGTTAATCGCACCATAATAGCAACTATCTCACTCATTTTTTGACAAAAGGAAAAAAATTAACTTTAATGTAAAATGCATCACTAACCCACTAGGATGGATATTAGCAAATAATGGATAATAACAAGTTTTGGCAAAGATGTGGAGAAATTTGAACCCTCATACCTTGCTGGTGGGAATGTAAGTTGATGCAGCTGCTGTGGAGAACAGCTTGACAGTTCTTCAAAAATTTCAGCATAGAGCTACATGATTCATCAAGCACTGCTAGGTACATACTCTATAAAAAAGAAAACACATCTTACACTTGAATATAGCAACATCGTTCATAATAGTCAAAAATGTGGAATCAGCAATTCCACTCCTAGGTATTTACTCAGGAGAGCTGATAATATATGTTCTTATAAAAACTTGTAAATAAATATTTACAGGAGTATTATTCATAATAGGCAAAAAGGGAAAGTTACTCAAATGTCCATCAAATGATGAACAGAAAAATAAAATGTACAATATATCCATACAGTGGAATACTATTTAGCAATTAAAAGAAAGTACTCAATTATGCTACAGTATGGATGAACCTCAAAAACATTATGCTAAGTGAGAGACGTTATCACATACTGTATGAATTATTTGTATAAAATATCTAGAATATGCAAATGTATGTATAAAGAGAGTATGGATTGTTTGCTTAGGGTTGAGAAGAGGAGGTTAGGGAGGGGAATGGGGAGGGATGCCTAATGGGTGTGAGGTTTCTTTAGGGGAGATGAAAAGAAAATGTTTTACAGTTAGATTGTGGTGATGGTTATATAACACAGTGACTACACAAAAAACATTTCATCTCAATTTTGTAAAGAAGGAGGAAAGGAGAGAGGGAGTACTATCAATTGGCTAGATGATAGCCACTCACTGGAATACATCATTGCAAAGCTAATATTTCATTTCTCATCTTAGACTGAAGAGAGGACTTCAAACCTGGGTTTCTTCTGGCCCTTCTTTTCTCTGTGGCAACTTCCCCATTGCCTCTGAAGCAGATGAAACCTGCCTTAGTTTACACTTTCTCTTCTGATTTCAGTCTTCATAAATCTCCACCACAGACTGCTGAAAAAACAGCTTCTCAACCCTCTTCTCTAGCTCATCACAGGAAACAGTGAACAGAAGCACATATTTTAAGAAAAAACAGCTAGCTGTTACCGAAAGAACATGCACTTTGAAATCAGAAAGACCTGGGTTCAAATCTTTGCACATCCCTTCAAAGATACATGCACTTGTCAGTTCATATGGCCTGAATTAAACTACAACAGTTTCTTCATCTGTAGAAGAGGAGTGCTATGAGGCTTATAATTAATAAAGATTATAACTAATACAAAATTAAGTAATTCTTTTGGCTTCTGAATTATACACAAATTCATATATACTGCACCCTGAACTCAAACCTTTCTACCCAACCATGCTTGAGTCATAAGAGAGAAAACCCAACAGTAACCCAGCACTAACAGGGTCACTAGCACAGTGGTCCTTATGCTGGGGGAAATATGGACCCATATCCCTCTCACTCTCCAAACCTGGAAAACTAAGGGTAAGGCTGGGTGTCTTTGTTTGAGAATTTAATATGTTCCTCCTACCCCATCCCTAGATGAGATCACTTATAATCCTTCTGAAAAGTGTATACCTTCTAATCCATATCTCTCTTGTGCATGTATATCTTTATAGGGAAGGAAATTTGGGGCATTTAACAGAAGTATTAAAAGCAGCCACTGTGGAAGATTGATTCTTATTTCAGAGAACCCACTGATGAACTTTTTTTTTTTAAATGTAGGAGGCCCTTGACAAACATAGATGAAAGAAATGAGAAAAGAAGAGGAAATTTATCTATTAAAAAAAAACATTATCCCTACTACATTTTCCTCGTTGTAGAGAACTTAAAAAGTATGATTTTATTGTAAAAAGAAAGAGTAGCAGGACTTAAGTTTGCAGAGTCACCGTAGGTGGTGAACCTGAGAAAAAAGAAAAAGTAGGGTCTCTGTGAAGAGAAAGTATGTTCATTGATAATGTGTCTAGAGGTTAGGGCTTAAAAATGGGACATGGCTAGTGAGAAATTTCTTGTGGCAACAAATAACAGGTTTAATTGTAGCATCAGTAAGATTGGAATTTAATTACCAATATCTTTAACTGTTGTTTTACCCTTAAGCCTTCTTTACTAGAAGTCTAGTGTTAACAGTACTTAGAATACTGAAGGGAGAATGGCAGTGTTCCAAGAATTTGAGTTGGTGACCAATAGTTAAATTAAAAAATCCTTAACATAGAGTTGAAAGCTATCATTCAAACTAGAACAGTGTGGCTTGAAATTGGACTGACTCAGAAGGAAATATAAGCCAAACTCTTTTGTAAGAAATGGGATTCTAAAATAGGATGATATTCTAATTAACATACCATATATATTTAATTTATATACAATATGCAGATATACTTCTGCACATAAACTACCCAGACCTATGGAAATATTTAGATGCTAGAAAATCTGCTATATTGGGCAGCCCTATTGATTTCCAAAGATATTCCCTTTCTTTGATAGGGTAAATTAACAGGGATTTAGTCTCTCAGTTGAAAAGACATGAAATTAGAGTCTTTTACACAGAATTTACAATACAGTTTATCATGCAGTAGATAGATTCTGAATATGGCATAACAATTCCTCCCTTCCCTGTATGCACATGCCTGCCTCTCTTCCCATCAAGAAGTGAGTCTATTTCCCTCCCCTTGAACACGGACTGGAATTGTGACCTGCTTCGGCACCGTGCCTTGCTTTTAAGTGGTGTGGCAGCTTCTGCTTTTGCACTCTTGGTGAAGTGGGTGGCCATGATGTAAAGGAGCTTGAGCTAGACTATTAAATGTTGAGCCTGCAAGCAGACAGAGGGAGAAGCCACGTGGAGAAGCACTGAGGCATCAGGCGTATGAATAAAGCCGTCCTGGATCTTCCAGCCTAGATCAACCAGCATCTAAATGCAGCTGATGAAGTGCCCTCAGCCATTGCCAGGTGAAGCTGGAGAAACACCCCGCAGACCCTACCTGAGTTCCTAACCCAAAGATTCGTAAGAAATAGCAAATCGCTGTATTGTTTAAACCACCAAGTTTGGGGGTTATTTTTTACCCAGAATTAGATAACTGAAACAAAAATGGATACCAGAAATAGGTTGTCACCGTAAGAAAATCCTAAAATATGCGCTAATGACTGTGTAGGAAGGAGGGTAAGAGCCTGAGGACAAGTGAGGAGATTGTTAGTGGGATTGGAATACAGTGAGGAAATTTCTCTTGGAGGTTAGAGAAAGGACATACCCCTGCAGTAACATAGAAAATAAAAATTAAAAAATATATACCTAAGGAACATGAGAATCTGGTTAAAGAGCTTTCCAGGTAGAAAGTATCAGAGTAAGTGATCACAGCTAACACCAGCTGGGGCATAAGTAGTGTGAAGCTGAAGCCTACCCAAATTCCTATCCCACAGAATCGTAAGAAAAACAAAATAATCTTGTTTTAAGCCACTGAGCTTTGGGTTTTTTACATACCAATAGGTAACGGATACAGACCACCAACAAATCCCACGTGGAAGAATATTTTCAGGATGCTGGTCCCCAAGATTGGTCTTCCAAAGACAGTTAGGAGCATAACTGCATACCTTCTAAGCTGCAAACAGCACCAAGTATGAGTAAGTTGCAAAGCAACAAGAAAACACAACATAAAACCTTACAAGGTGGAAATCAATTGTACTTTTGGATGGTTTATGCCTATAATCATGGTTCTTAGGTGATTTATTCATAACAAAAATGTCTCCCATTTCTCCATTTTGAAGAACTGAGAGAAAAAAATTTTCCAGGCACACTTCAAGCCTCAGACACATTCTGAAGACCTTTGGGGTCAGTCTGACCCTACTTCTTTAATTTCTTGTGAAAATCTTTTTAATTGTCTGTGTTTCTCTTTGGAAGGAGAATAAAGTGTTGCATGGTAGGTACTCCTGGCCCTTTCTTTCTCAGGCAAAATATGTGCCACAGAGCTGCTTCCTGCAGTTGTGTTATCTAAATGAGTGTCCTTGATAATGATAATAATTTTCTCCATGATTGCTCTTGCTAAAAGGGAAAACCAGAAGTTAAAGGATTTCTCTAGTCTCCTCTAATATAATTTATCCTGAAAGCTGAAATAAAAGCATTCCCAGATGACACAGTGGTAACCCTTTTCCATCAGATGTTCCTGTATCTTAAGTTTCTTAGCTGTACAACCTAAAGTAAATACACCTACTTTGGAGAAAAGAATTGACACAGTATTAGCATTTGTCACCATAAACTCATATCTGGCTGTCAAATTATTTTTATAGTTTTGTTGTTTTGTTTATTAATGAATACATGGAAGAAGAAGAGGAATAGGGGGAAAAAAGAACACTGAGAAGAAAAGATCCAATGCTCTGCTTACTCTTTTTCTGTTTGTTATTGCATTAATTGAAATGAAAATCGGGCTTGGTGGTCCACTCCCTGGTCTAATTGCTGTTGGAAAATTAAAAAAAAAAAATCTTGCATCTTCTCAAACTAGTCTGATACAAAGTTTAGAAAAGGCTATGAGGAGTAAAGCAAGCCCAGACTGTACTCTTGATTCCTCTTTTCTACTTACTTACAAACCTAGAATATAAAACATATTTTCAAAAACATAAAATAATAAAAAGTCTTAATATGGTATATAAGTTGTCCTTACCCAAATATGTAAATAATATTTTAGCATTTAGCAAATATATATTTTAGGAGATGCATTTTTGGAAAATATAGTGTCTATGACGAAGATCGCAAATACATTTTAATTTACATGCCACTCTCATAAGTGGATCGTGGCTTCAGCAAGATTGTGTTGTAGACCTATCTTTGCTAGTGTGAAAGAGTCTACAATAGATACAAGAGGGACAACTGTGCTAAGAATTTTTCACTTCTGTTCCATAAGAGTAACACCTGAATTAGGCATATAGAAAAGAGAAGTCATCAATTGCAAGAAGTTAATGGGGTTAACCAACAGGAAGAATGGATATTCTAATAGGAAAATGTTTTATAAATGCTTGCTTATTGGAGTATCAGGAATTTTAATTATTTTGATCTGGCAAAGGGAAGATTTGTAAAGTGTGATACTCTTTAGTTGAATTTGAAGAGTAGCGTACATTCACTTAACGCCCGACTCAAAATGAGAATATCAGAAAACATTGGACGAGGAGGACAAACATATTTCTGTGATCTGTAGCATAAACACAGTTATATATGATACAGTGTTCTTTGTCAATATTTGTTCTCTAAACTTGGAGAATATGAGGAGGATAACACTCTTTGATTGAGGAATATCTCCTTATAGTGAATATATTTGCATTCTTTTAAAGTCAGGTAACAAAGCGGACAATACAGAATTGCCAGAGAAATTGAAAACAGGCTTCATAGGGAAGAAACATGCATGATAATAAATGTGGTCTAAGGAATAGGAAGTAGGATCATAGTTGGGGGCAAAGGCACGGAAGGTAGTGCATGCGATCTTCTTGTTCAGCATGGTTACATTGAGAAAAGGGTAACAAAATGTGCAAACACACACACATGAATTCACTCCATACCAAATAGGTACATAAGATGAGCAGCAATGACTGGTGAAAAAAACATGGCTCATGGGTAATTAATGGTTACAGATGAACATAATTCGCAGAAAATGTACTGACCTAAATGGACCCAACAGTCTCAGCCTCTTGGCCACCAATATTCAGAGGAGAAAGAAACTTTAAAATCCAGCAATGATAAAAGAGTCTGTGTTCATCAACATCTGGCTGATGTCTTGGAGAACAAAAAAAACAAATGGTGTGTGGCAATAGAAAGATAGAAAAACAAAGATTAGGTACATGTAAAACAGAGAAGACACAAGTGAAACAGAAACAGCATGGTGACCCCATGCCTGGGGAGCTGGGAGAACCTTCTGTTGGAGATATTTGGGGGGGGGATGGTCCGCACTGCATGGCTTGGAGGATCTTAGTTCCCCAACCAGGGATCGAACTCAGGCCCCTGCAGTGAAAGCGCCGAGTCCTAACTACTGGACTGCCAGGGAAGTCCCCTGTTGGAGATTTTGAAGGGACTCTCAAGGAGCCTCAGAAGGATTTGTTCTGATGCTATAAAATTCTTACATGATGGCTGCACCTACTTCAAGTTGCACTTTTTCTTGTGATCTATTCTCACAGCAAAGTGAAACTAAGTTGCTCACAGTATGAATATAAAGTTTTCCCCTGCCTACAGTTCTCTTAAGAGCAGCCTATTGGAGGCCTTTGAATTCTTTCAGCGTATGCAGAGACCTTTTATAATAAATTGTGTTTTTCATGTTAAAAAGGAAACTTCGAAAGAAGGTGTTAACATAATTGAGGCATGATAAGTTTGACAGTAAGTGTCATTATCAGAGTTCCACTGACAGCTTTTTGAAGTCAAAAAAAAAATTCTTTCGACATAAGCAGAAAACCTCTTGCAGTGTTTAAACAATTTCACCAAATATATTAATATTCTACAATGGCCCCTTCATTCTGAAGGTTACCCAAGTGAAATGGTTTTCATGATATTTGGGATTTTTAATCTATTGAACAAAGTACTCACTGGTATTCAATATAGAGAAAATACAAAAGTTTAAAGGATGAGATGAAAGATAAAAATATGAAAAGATGTTCTCATGTTTGCCTTCTGCACACAAATGACTCACCTTGTATGCACACCAGGACGAATACCCTCCACTTCGAATATCTTCACTGCAAGTAATGTGGAAAAGATGGATAAATAAGAAGTCATATAAATCTGGGTCATTCAAAGCTTTGTCTAAATTTACCATAAAACCAGGAAGTGTTTTTTAAATGAATTATTCCTATTTTTAGCATTTCCTAAAAATAGAGCATCCCTTAATTGAGAAATTCATCACCTCTATATACAAGCTGCTACCTCTCATATAGTAAAATTTTAAATCCTTTCTTCTTAGAGCTTTCTGGATTTCTGATTTTTGTCTTAGAAAGAAACTACTAGTGCAAATGTCCAATAAAACAACAAACAACACTTATAAAGAATTAAGCAGTAATGTTTTGGCAAGTAAATCTTGGAAGGAAAAATGTGTGATTAAAAAAGAGAAAACAAAGTTAGAGACAAGAGTGGAACAGAAAACAATACCAAACTGAAATAATGTAAAAAAAAAAAAAAAGCTGCAGTTAGATAAAACTTGATTCTTAACACAGTACACATTCCTCTGAAATGCCTTGGGGGAAAAGAGTTAAAATTCACCAGGAAAAGAAAGTTAGGGAAGAGTCTTATGACAAAAATTTGGCTTAAATATATTTTCCCATAAGTTTTATCTTACAAAGTATAAAAATTAGTGAAAGTCGAATTTTAAAAATTCATGTTCTGTATATATTTTTTAAATTGGATACACTTATGAATATTACACAGAGTTTAGTTCTGAACACATAAGCACAAAGCAGGTGTTGGAAGTAATACAGACAAAAAATAAGTAAATCGATCTATTATGAGGTATAAGTCGTGTTGATAGAGCTGAAGAAATCAACCAATCCATTTGACATCATTTGACACAATTTCTGAATATGTAATCTGGTCTTATCAGTTTATTAATTTTCCCATCCTTCATAAGACCTATGGGAATAAGTATTCCATTATAATTTGTCATTTCACAAATCGAGAGATTAAGATAAATTTATTTAATTATTGTCCCTCCTGGCCAATCCTCCCTCTTGCTTAACTCCCCTCCCTGATCTCCCAACATTGATATAGCTGGGAAAACCATCCATAAAATCAGAATAATTCTCTAAAGTAATGATTCCATCATCTTATTATATCCCTTATATTTAATAACATATTCATTCAGAACATATTTATTGGTATTATTGTGGACCTATCGCTTTACTAGATGTATTTTTGTATATTACCAGCCTCACAATGGGCACACAATAAAAATTGGGTAAACAAATAAGCAATAAGGTAAATAAGATGTGAAATAAAGATATGTAATAGGATGACTACAATTTCAAAAGCCAAGAAAAGTCTAGTGGTAAAGTTGTACATATACAACTAAAGGAAGGAGCAGCTATAGTACTGTGGGAATAAGTCAGGTTTAGAGAAAAGCACACAGAATAAATATCCGAAAACTTGGTCTGAGTCATGACTTTGCCACTTACCACTGGGTGATCTCAGGCAAGTAACTTAAAAGTTCTGAATTTCAGTTTTTGACTGATGGTGCTGGGAAGAATAAAACCAACTTCCCAAGCTTTTTTCTAGAAAGTAAATAATGATTTCTACTTCCTATAATGGCTGGCCATAATTTGGAACAATTTTCCTGCTAAAGAAACCTAGGAAATGTTTTCGGTGCCAAGATCTAGAAGACATTTGAGATCCAAAGAAGTGAGTCTGACATTTGGGGATGATTTTTCTCCTGGGGATGTTTGCCAATCTGGGAAAGATCATTGAGTTTCTGAGCACCTAAGAAGTTTTGTTTTTGTTTTTGTTTTTACTTATTCCCAGTGTTACTAGAATGAAACGTTGAGTACAAATTTAGTCAATGTGTAAGTTATAATAAATCCCATGGGCCATGCGTTAGGACCCTGACAGTTGCACCATAGAAAAAAGAATAAACCAGAAATAGAATAGTAGGCACTGCAACCCAATTTCAGAAATGTCCATTCCTAAAAGTGGAGAGGGTAACCTCTAATTGTTGGTGCCCCTGAGCATCTGAGAGCAGTAAATCTAAATCTACCAATATTACCCTTAAATTATATCTAGAGGCGAATGTTTCAAGTAAAGAGTTCTGTCAAAATAAGAAAAATAGCTAAGTACGTGAAAAGTTGACCAAAGTGAACCATGAACTAGAAATAGCACAAAGACACCAATACTGGTCCAGAGTTTGTCTTTATTAGATGTAATCATTCATAAAATAATATGTCTGCTATACTTAAGAAAAAAAAAAGAAATTGAGAATCTCAGAAAAGCTCAACGTTATAAAAAAAAGTGACATGGAAGCTTCCTAAAAATAAATAGATGC